GTATTCCCATGCATTTTAACCCGCTAAACACGAATCCGATGTCCATTTTGTCTGATTGGCTCTTGCATTTTTCCTAACCTCAAAAAAACAGTTTAAAAATGCCCGAAAAATCTCAAACAAGTAAATAAAAAAGCTTAAGCGAGCTGACCACCATTTCCCTACATATTTTGAGGCGTTGAGACTTTGTCTCTTTTCGTTGTTTGTTTTGAAACTTCTGGTTTCACTGGAAATGCATGCAACTTTTGATTTTTAAATAGGAAACCCTGTATATTTTTACATATTCGAAATTTTCGGGTCATGTTTAGTGAAAACAATTGTTTTTTTTTGTCTTATTTGGTTATTTTTTTATTTTTTTATTAATTTTTCGAAATTGATCAAAATAGCAATTATTGCCTGTACATGATTTTTTCTGATCTGGAATGAGGTTAAAAAAATACAACTGCTATGATAATAATGTACTGTCATCATCCAGTATCGATTAAAGTTCGCAAAAACAGATTCTTTACAGATAATTTGAACAACTCAAATGGACATATGCCACTCATAACTGCATAATATTAAGCTTTTCGAGACAAATCCAACGATGTATTAAATATTGAATTTCGATAACAAATTATCGTAAAAATTCTTTTTTTATCGGATAAAAAAGTCTTTTGAAGGCGAAATTTGGTTCTTCTTGGCATACTTTCTTTATTAAATAAATAATGTATTGCTTGGACGGATAACTGCGTCTATCTGGACATTCTTGTCGATAGACGCGTTCCGCTGCCGAAGCATTCATCCACATTGGCCAAATTTGATCAGAATATCAACTCGCTCGCTTCTGTTTAAAATCTAGAAAACATACACGCACTAAATAGCTATTTTCAAAACCTAAACACCTTGTATCTACAATAATACAACTAAAAATTAAGGTCTGTCTCGCTTCTTTGTCTGAGACTGTTCTTTCTGTTCTGTCTGAGAAGTTCTTGCCTTAAGTTTTGTTAGATCTAGAGTTCTTGGTTTAAAGTTCTTTTTGTAAAATTATTGCCTCGAATTGTAACTCGATATTTCGAAATATCGAAAACAATTAACGATAAAATAAAATTCTTACTATGTAAAAATAAATATTTCTTACTATGTAAAATGTATTCTTAGACAGTAACTTTACACAAAGAACTCTAAACTATGAACTCTAAACCTTAATAGTTCGTGCCTTAGGAACATAACAATTTTTGTCTTAATTTATAATAGACTTAAGGCTTAAGAACTTAAACCAAACTTATTGTTTAAAACCTAACTTATGGTTTAAGTTCTTGTCTCAGGTTATGTTAGGTTAAGATTTCTTAGTATAAAATTCTTGATGTAAAACTAATTTCTTAGAATATGTTAGGTTTAAAATGTTTGGTTCAAGTTTTATTTATTTGTTTAGTTTTTATTAATTTGTTTTTTGGGCATTTTTTTAACTGTTTTTTGAGGTTATGTCGAAATTTCTTACTGCTCGGCTAATTCTGACCTTAGATTCAGTTTCAGCGCCCCAAAGTCACAAGTTACATGATATTACAATCAACTGATTAAACCTTTTATTTCGGGCAATATTAAGGTGTTTTTTGAAATTATGTGAGAATTTCTAACTGATCGACCAATTCTGACCTCATATTCAGCCTTAGCGCCCCAAAATACGTATGGAAATGATGGTCAGCTCATTTAAGCTTTTTATTTGCATGTTTAAGATTTTTCGAGCATTCTTAAGGTGTTTTTTGAGGTTAGGAAAAATGCAAGAACCAATCGAACAAAACGGTCATCGGATTCGTGTTCAGCGGATCAAAATGCATGGGAATACATAGGATCTGGCTTCTAGCACTCGACTTTTTTTTTTTTGTTTGACTGTGTAATCTTTAAGATTGACATTGTATATATTCTTTATTAATTTCTGATGATCAGATTTTTATCAATTAATCGAAAAGTCAATTGGTCAGAAATTTTTCATTGTATTTAAATTTACTGGTCATTTATTAATTAGTAATGCATACTGGTGACAATTTTAAGACTATTTTAAAATTTAAAATTAAAAAATAAATTTTAAAGATTATCTAAAACTGAACATATCGTTTATATGATCATCAAATATTCGCATGTATCTACGAGTACATATATGATATGAGTATATAACTCATAGCTTCATGCTTTCCAATCTTCTAATCGTAATATACTTCATTACGAGTACATTTCGTAAACTAATGTAAGTGAAGAAGAATACTCGATTAAATAGTTCTCACTGATTATTTTGTATTTTCGTATTATAGTTGTGCTTAGTATTTCAACACTCTTTAACTATATTTGAACTATATTTTGATTGTCCATTTATTTTGTCTATTTCTTTGATTTATTGTCATTTACCTTCTCAATTCAACAGCTAACTTTGTTTTCTGTTGATCAAGACCTAATACCCACCGTGGTGTTGGTATTCTGTTTGATGTTATTTAATTTCTTATCCTATACTCCTTTAAATACATCTATTAGTTTTCTGACTAATTTTATTCTCCGCGCTTGTTACAAGATAAAATGCCTCTAAAGTATGAGTATCAAAAACCGCTGCCTAATTAATCATTACTTGGCCGGCGACATGGTTGCACGGCCAGGGTCGGACTGGGATAGGTGTCACATATTTGCCCGGTCTTATACCGGATGCAGAAAATGCGAATAATGCGCCAAAACCAAGACCAAAATGCACTAATGATAGTAATAATCCCCACCTACTAATGTAAATACAAGCTCTCACAGTGCGGGCAAGTTAATTCGTGCGCATACGTGCGTATATTTTCGCACATCTGAATAATCCGCATTTTTCGTCCAATGTGCGACCAGGTTTACGCTTAAATAGATTTAGAGCATAAAATTCAGAGAATAATGTACACCTCTTTAGTCTACGCGAGGGTTGTTTACGCGATTTACTTGATTACGCGACTTTCGAATATAAAATAGTGTGAAAGATTTTATTCAGTTTAACCCATTAACGTCCGCTGTACTCAACTGAGTACAGTTACATTTTTTACTCCTAGGGCCATCTATTTCCAAGGGGCTAAATTATACTGCGCATTTCTGTATATCAAAGATCTGGTTACTTTATAATTACAACTTGTAAAGTGAGTGTTTACATTAGAGTGACTTTGTTTATTGGTAAAAATTAGGAAATATTAGTGGTATGTACTCGTTTTATGATCTTTTGTAGTTTTAAGTAGTTTCTTTGTTTTCTCAAATAGATGTTACTCATAAGTGTATAATAAAAGTAAAGTAAGATATTAGTATAATTTGTTTTGATATTCGCCATAAGCGACAAGAACCAAACCTTGGTAAACACGGCTGTACCCATTTGAGTACAATGGGCTGAAAGGGTATAACTTATATATTTTTTCCAGAAATGGAATCTAACGTACCTTCTGTTTCTACGCGCACTTTTTATGGTAGAAAATCTTTCAATTTTCTCGAAGAAGCCATAGAAGAAGTTGAAATTCACCAGTGTAATGCATACATTGTTATATTGCCACCAGATCCCAGTATACTGACGGACAATGAGGAATGCGATGATGAACTGATATATACTAATATAGTACCTCATATAACCAAGAAGTTAGAAGTCCATTTTGATCAATATGAGGATTTTGATAGCAGTGATGATGAGACCTTGGCACAAAAGAGAAGCAAAATGGAGAAAAATAAAACACGTCCTGATTGTGTCAGGAAGAAGCTACATTTGAGATCTTGGAAAATAACTGAACCCAGTTATTCCACATTTATGGGATACGTAGATGATGAAATATCTACTCTTAAAAAGCGAAAATTCTCAGAAGAAAAATTACCTAAATCCAAAAGATTTTGTTGAAAAAATTGTAGATGATACAATAATACAACACATGTGAGCAGTCTATATTATACGCACAGCAAAATAGACACGATTTTTTTGTAACAAATGAAGAGATACGGACCTTCATTGCAATTTTCCAGACAACGTCTATTCCAGAGCTACAATTCTGGTATGGGTGGAGTTGATCTTTTAGATCAAAGTGTTAATACATACAGAATTGCGATAAAAGGAAAGAAGTGGTGGTGGGCGCTGTTCACTCACATGTTCATTATATTTGTTACTAACGCATGGAAGTTGTACAAAATCGCCAACGGTAACAATATGAGTCAACTAGATTTTGCTAGATATATAGTATGTTCCTACCTGCTTTCTGTTAGGTATAAACAAGCAAGACAGTCTCATTTTACCTCTATCTATCATACAAGACAGCAGTGGACATTTTCCAAAAAAAACTTGAGAAACAACTCAGATGTGCAGTATGTCACCAGAGGGTTAGATGGTCATGTAAGAAATGTTGCACGACATTATGTATGGAACGAAACTGTTTTGAACTATATCATACATCTCAATAGTTTGTTATCTTTTTACGAATAAAAATAAATGTTTGTCATAATAATTTTGTTTTTATAGTGTTAACGCCCATTGTACTCATTTGAGTAGGCACCATAAAACAGTAGGTTAAAGTTAACAAATATAATGTTTCTTCCTGAATTTAGTCTAGTAATCCTAAAACTAACAGAAATTGAGTTTTATAAAAGGTGGTTTAGCTTTTGGCGTTAATGGGTTAATGCAGTACGATTATAAAACAAAAATCATGAGAGGGCAAGTTTTATGTGCAGGAACTGTACAGTCGTAGATCCGTAATTGTCCTAGATTTACTGTATCAACCTATTGTATACAGTGTGCATTGTGTGTAACGCTAGCCTTAGGACAGTAGGACAAACGCACTGACGGCGACGCACAGTGGGGCAAACTGGATATTTAAGAGTGCAAAATTGTGTCCCTTCATAATGATAGATAATTTTGTATTACATGAGTTGAATATGTACCTATTTAATTATATATATCCCTCTAAGAGTCATTACTACTGTGCAGAAGGAGAATACACATGGAAAAGACGTAGGACACACAACCAAACCCTGTTACAAGTGCCAATTGCCACAAGCGGGATTCGAACCCGCACGGACTCGAATAGCTCGCACGAATTCGATAGCTTTCGGAGTAATCGCCATCTTCTCACATGGCGCTTTACCCACTGAGCTATCGCCGCGGCCTAATAAGTATAAAGAAGGGTATTAAAGTTGTTTAAAATTACTGAGATTGTTTCAGTTAGGAAAAAAGGAGTTAATATAATTTTTATTTACATTTATTTACATTATTTTTATAATTAATTCTGTTCAAAAAGAAACATAATTAAATTACAAGATATATATGTAAATATATGAAAAAACGCGATTTGCTCCCAAAAAATTGTCAATTTGAAGTCGCTGATTTTCAACTTCTAAACTGAGCTGAACTGAAAGTTTTCATTTCTTCTTCAACGTCATCCTCGAAAATCGGTATCGTTCTGTTTCCGAAACTTTTTTTAGTACACATGATTGTGGAAATTAATGGATCCAATGTGAATAGTACATTGTTAAACAAATTTTCGCTACCATTCTTAGTTTATCGCAATTATTCTCTGCAGCGAACTGTCCAAGAAAAAATTAAAGAACTTTTTCGGCTGCATTTGGCTGCACTCATATTTGGTAAAAACAGAAACTTACACCTCATTCTCAATATTTGCTAAAAATTAACGTGAATACATGCGAATTTCATTAAAGTATTTCACTAAAAAAAACTTTGCCGATGGCAAAAGCATTATTTTAGACGACGAAAAGTATTTCACTTTGGCTAACTCCGAAATGAAAGGAAATGATGGGTTTTATAAAAATAACCTAGAGGAATGCCCTGACACTGTAAAGTTTAAGACTAAAGCAAAATTTGCCGATAAAATCCTTGTCTGGTGCGCAATTTTTAACAGGGGCATATCCCGACCTTTTGTGGGAAGAGTGAGAGGCGAATCTTTGAACAGTCAGGGGTATATTGAGAACTGTCTTTCCAAATTGCTCCAGTTTGTCCAAGAACATCATGCTGAGGATGATATCATGTTTTGGCCAGACTTAGCATCGTGTCATTACTCTAGAGATACCCAAAACTGGTTTCGTCAACACCGCATACCTTTTGTTCCTAAAAATGCTAATCCTCCTAACTTGCCTCAGGCTCGCCCAATAGAGGATTTTTGGGCTTTATTGTCGCGGAAAGTTTATGACAGAGGCTGGGAAGCCCAAAACAAACAGCAACTACGACGTCGAATTTTTGAAAAATTGAGAGAAATTGACTTGAACTCCGTCCAGGGCCTCATGAGAGACATCCGGAAAAAGTTGCGTCTGGTAGAGGAGTATGGGCCGCTTCACATAATTTGATAGTATAGTTTAGTCAAGCATTAAGATGTAGTTTATGATAAATAATTGTAATAATGATGTTTCAATAAATCTGTTCATTAAAAAAAAACTGCTATAAATATTTTGTGCCAGAACTTTTAGGATATACGTTATATCGAGCCGTCATTTTTGCAACTTAATTGCTTGTATTTACTACAAATTAATTAATTGTTCACAATTATCCTATTTTATATTAATTCATTTGTGTAAAGTGTCTGTTATACTGTACACGAATATAGCACTCGTTTTATGCCCTTGTAGAGCCTGACTTATGTACATTACGAGCAACGACTGCGAACAACGTTAAAACAAACCATTGTAATTTTTCGTTTGCTTGTAATTACTCATTACCACAAAATATGGCTTCAATCAACAAAACAACACAAATATAGCAAACTGCATTAGAATAAACTGCGTTTCACAATATCCGTAATATTTTAATGACAGGAAAATAGAAGTGGCATAGGCGCGGAATATAAAATTTTTGCCCGTCATTTGAAATTCGCTGGTTTAATTTGTTTATTTTATTATTACTAGCTTTTTTTTGTTTTTTCATCCTTTTTTTTATTCTCTAATTTCTATATTACACTAGTTTACAAGTTATAACTTTAGTCCTCTCATAAAAAACGATATCATCTGCGTCTACAGGATACCCTCTCGAACTCTTTGAAGATTACTGTTTTAAAGCCAAAAAGCGTACGACTACGCAAGAGCAAACTTTTCAGCTGATATGTCAGCTGGATTTTCGGAATCTCCAGCTCAACAAAAACAAAATCTTTATTATGTAAACAAACATTGGCTCTGTGTTTAAACTTATGTATTTCGAAAGTACAAAAAGTATTTTATTCTAAGGCTGGGTACACACGGTGAGGATTTCCGGAGAGGATTACCCGTTCAGGCCAACCTCTCCGGCCGGCCGGAGCGTGTGGACCATACTTTTACTTCAGTTGAGACGGACTGCGCAGACCGCCAGGCCTTTCCAAATTTTCGAAAGGCCGCCTGAACAGTCCGCCGTCACTGAACCCCTTTCCTCACGTGTGGAGGGGGCAACCCCTGGCCTCAAGGCCGCAATGGCTGTTGTTGACGCCTCGTCGTGCAGTGTTCATTTTTCTTTGCTTCGTTTTATGCGTTTTGGTTCGATTTTTTCGTTTTTTTTTATTTGTTCGTAGTTGTTATGTCGAAGACTAAAACGGTTCCACAGTTAGCTCGGTCAACAGATTGGTGTGTGTAGACGCCATATTCCGTTTCAGCAACCACTTTTTGCACCATTTAGCCCGCTGTTTTCGTCTTTTTCGCTGAAGTACAGCCAAAACACCAACGAGAGCGATGTCATCGTCCGTCATTGGAGGGGACATGGTTACGACTGTGCAGTTTTCCTGCACAGTCACCCGCGGTGCCATGTGGAGGCTCCGTCCGGCTCAGCAAACCTCTGAGGATTTCCTCTCGGAAATCCTCACCGTGTGTACCCAGCCTTAGATTCGTTGTTTACGGCCTTCATAAGAACTCTTACATAATTGTATAAACTTACTTAGCATTTTTTTACATTTATTTATTTCTATAAAAATGTATATTTTAATTACAACCCTTACCAGCATAACCTCCATCCGATCCCCAAGAAAAATGTATATCTACGCCCCTGAGTCATATGTATAGATAATGAAGTGATAGATAATACCTATACTATATTTTAATATCAAACGTAAACGTATGTTATACAAAATATTTTTGATTTTTGACAATAAATTATTTCCATAAGATCTCCCACTAAGCGTGTGGTTTTTTGTAAAATTAATGTTTGGTGTTTATGCTGCTAAAAATGCAATTATTCTTGGAAAAATGAATGTGAAGTATAGTCCCGTAGTAAACCAAAAAATAATATATTAACCATTTCTTTCTGATATTTCAAATTTGTATATAAGCTTTCCGCTTTGCTCATTACTTTTTGTGTAATTCTCGAAAAGCAAAAAAAAAATATCGATACAATTTATAACAGCCACGTTGAAATTATATAAGTTTCGAAACAATAGTCTTCTTGTAATTTAGAGAAGAAAGATAATCAATATTTTAAAAAATATACTATACAGGATTAGATAGTGTACATATATATACGACAAAGCGTTTCGGCGGAAAATTTTCCTCGAAAAATTTTGAAAATCTGTTCGTGGATTCTGAACGAGCAAGTCTTTTTACATAAGAAAACATTGACCTGTTATTGAATTTCAAACATTTTCAGTGTTTTCTAATCAAAAAACCAATCGACTGTTTGATGTACACGCGATCCTTAATAGGTTTTCAATTATAGAGAAATTCACAAACTTAAAAATTTCAAAATGCGATATCGCAGCGAAAAAAAATTTATTTGAGTAAACTCGACGTCATTTAAAAGGGCAAAGTCATGTACGTTAAGATGTCCATAGTTTTTTGAGAAAAAAATTGCGATGCTACATAACCTCAAATATAGGCCAAAATCGCTTTTTTTGCATTTTAGGTTAGGATATCTCGAAAACCAGAGCCAATTGAGAGATTTGAACCTCGAATTTGTATTCTGCGCATCAAAAACCTTCGGAAAAGTATATTCTGGTTTCTGGGTTAAAATCTTGTCGGCCTGTGAATGTAAGGTAATGATAGGTTTAATACCTTTGATAAAGTTACCAATGTGCGTTATGATATGTAAATCACAATTAAAAATTTGCTATTTTTTTCATAATTTGGTTTACATATTTTCTCAACTTACTTCATTCATTCTTAAATAAAATTACATACTTTGACGCAAGGTAAGAAAAGAACTCGAAAGATGACGCAAGGAAAAAAATGCGCATTTTTTCAAAATAAACAATTTTGTAAGCGCTGACTGCAGATCTTTGTACAAAATCCGTTTTCAACTTTTAAAAATGAGTTGAAACAAGTGACGCCGCTGAGCCTCCATTACAAATTCACTACATTAATGAGCGCTCACGGTGCCCAATTCGAATTTGCTCGCTAAATCCGTCGCAGTCGAAAACATTATATGCGGAATCAACTTTACACGTACAAATTATTTATGAATAAAGTAAAATGGGCGTTGCATAGTTAAAATTAATATATATTAATTCATAATTACTAATTTCGTGTGGCTGTTATTTTTAACATGGCCGATTACATCGAGTCATTTGACTGACACATTAATTATTCCGCTGTTTAAATACCTAAAAAGGAAAATACAGTTCGATAGAAAAATTCAACTCATTCATTTTACACAACGAATAAAACTGAAATAAAACATATTATTGACATACATGTAGGGGAAACATTAAAACAATCTTTATTCTGGGTATATTACTAGAAATTAAATATATATAAATAAACTATATAGAAATAAAAACTATAAGTAATAGATGTTTCTAGATAACCATAATTTATTCATGAAGTTAATGGTGCACACTTGTCCAAGTACCTATCTGTAATAAAAATTCCCATTTTATTTCCTTTTAAATCTTTTGTATTTGCACACAAAATTTGATTAAACAGCTGAGAAATTTCAGGCATTGACAGTGTCAGCCAAAAAATCATGTTTACATATACATATTAGACATATACGGAAAATTAATTTTTTTTCTATTCCTTTTTTTTATTTCACATTTATATCTTACATACATACAAATCGAATCTTATTATTAGGAATTATCATGGGAACGAAAAACATTTCCGGATATTTTTGTCCGTAGGTTAAATTGCACTGGAAATATTAACGCGATATTACACTGACGTTTGATTATACAGGTCTACAAAAAAAAAATCTGTCTGCGAT